TACTATAAAAGCACGTTATTTATTTCAACGGTGTGCCAGTAGCACATTAAAACAATCCAGATCGATAAAATAGGGTGAAGGTGAAATCGATTGGAGATACTTGGCCTTCTAGTTAACTTAACCGAAAAAACAAAAGTGGTTCAGAGCCAAGAGATGGCTATGTAGTGGTTAAGACTTGTCACACAAAATATGAATAAGCGGCGAAGTACTTTCAGGCAATGATGAGTTTTTCTGTTTGTTTTAATTTTTTAGGTCTTTCTTTTATGAGCTTTGAGATGACACTGACAGAAACCAATAAGAAATTTTACTGTTTGCTTATTATACACGAATTGAGCCTGATTTGGAGTTGATACTGAGGCTATACATTCGTAAGATGCCAACTGTATCCTAACGTGTTAATTAGTGAGAAATCTAACCGAGGCACGTCTCCCATTGGCGGAGAAGTGGGTTTTACTTGATTACAACAGGACTCAATGAAAATAATCTAAATACTTATTTGTTTTAATGCTGAGGTTCCAACCACCTAGTATGCATAAACGTTTTGTTTTACTAATCTACCTTGCATGAAAACATTGATGCTCTGGACTAAACTGAAGATTTCTATAACATCCAGAATTCTGTTTCCATTAAGCAAACTCCAGACCGTTTTTGATTTCTTTTAATGAAACGGCAACCGAACACCATTTAATATCCGTTATCCACGAAATCTCTGTGTTTAAGCTTATTAAGGGAATTCACATCAGCGTTGAGATTGCAACGATATCCAGGTGAGAACTCAATGTTGCGGATACTACCTGCATCTGCAACACGCAAATAATCTTCCCTGCGTGTGACCCTTAAATTTGTCGGGTATAAAAGTGCAAGAAACAGCTTAAAGGCTTGACAAAAAGCTCAAACAGACATGCCTTCGAACAGCTGAAATTTACTTCGTTCGACTTTAGGGTTGAAGCTTGGTAAATGCTGTATGATTGCCATGCCATGTCTGATTTGGCGGTTTAAACCGAAACTAAACATGTGCTAAATGCCCTTCGCTCAGAGACTGTTTTCATAGCGAGTCATATAAGTGATAACCCCATCGTTTTGTGAAAAGTTTGCTGTTTTTCAACTGGGCAAAGTCGTACAGCAGTGAATCTCGATGGATTGCATCCATCGTGAAAGTCGTCACGTGCGCGGACACCTTGGCGATTCGTGGAGGTGTTCAGCATTCCACTTGATTTAGTCAGACAAGTCCGACTGAATGACTCATCGTATGTACTACCCTGAATGCGCACGACCGCACACATCTGAATTGAGTCATGGGATAAACGGCAGTGGCTGGTTACTTGGACCTTGTTTTACTGACATTCCGCTGTTTTCAAGAGAAGACTCCTTCTTAACCCTCATCAGCAAATGAGATGACTTGTGAATGAACACACTTTAACCAACATTCAAAGTTGTTTGTCGTCCTAGGTAGATTCCCTTGGGGAAATTCGCATTTTTTTCGAGCACACAACTTGACCTCTAACCGAGTCTGTGCCTGAATTACTTCCGGCTCCCCACAACCATGCATTTGGGTTCAAAAACTTGGATATGGATCCAAGTTTCACGCCTTACTGGACTTGTCATTGGCTGGTCGCACGTTGATGTCACTGCTGAGGAGAGCGCATTGTCTGGCGCCTCGCAACAACTGATTTCCACCGTCTAATAAACTGTTGAGTTTTCATCCACTGTCTTCACCTCAGCTCCTTATCTACTATCTCCATAGTGGGATGTCGATAAGGAAAATCTACAATATGCTGACTTACACCTGGGAAATTACGAATTCTAGCTGGAGTGCCAGGAATGGCCAACTCACTTGTGGCGAAGCGTATTGCTTCACGTCCAGTTACCCGGTCGCTGCATCCACTGAGGCACTTTTACGTTGCCTAGTTCACTCGAATTTATTTGGTCAGTAATCGTATTCAGCATGCACGACTATGCCACTAACTACACAACACAACTAGGTTGAGTTGTTTAGTAAACGGTTGTGTCTCTGTTCTTCTACCTGTCTTCTGGTGTATCTGATTATCGTAAACGAGCCCAATTCAACGTTTTTTAAGACCGCACGCCATCCATGTCTAACAAGTAGTATATCCGTAATAGTTTGCAAAAACGCGGACTGCAGTGTGGCAGCACCCCTGAATCAACTGGGAGGCGCTGCGTAGCGGTCGAGTGTGCCTGAGCAGCTCATTTTGGCATGCCCACTCACGCACTTCCGAAAATTTGCATACACCGACTTGCGCAGATACGGAAGCATGCGCACACACACACAAAACAGGCCAGCGAATAGGGAGGGTTCAGTGGAGGGCTGTGTGTGGCGGTGTGCGCGGTGATTCGATAGTGGGTGTAGGTCAGAGCCTCACAGACGGGTATTTCAGGCATCTACTTATTTTGCCAAGCCCAGAGTTCAGATTGTTTGCACAAACTGCGCACTTTCGGTTGTGTGTGTCTTGAGTTGAATGCACCTCGGGGGCTTGGTGAGTCCAATGTGTTTACTTGGTTTGTCTGAATGTGTGTTTTAAAGTCAAAGTCAATAGAGAGAGGCGGTGATCCCAGTTTACGCTCTCCATAGCATTATCTCAAATGCCTTTCGATAAATCCCAGCTGATCAGTTGATCGTGGTGGACCCTTACAGCGACTAATCAAGTCTCACTAACGGACGTATGCAACGTCCATGATTTACGTGTCCCTTGAAAGTTAGGACGGCATTTACGTTGATACTTATGTCGATAAATGTGGCTCTCGCCTCGAGTTCTTATTTTTTTTAAACTTTCGGAAGATTTTCATGTGTAGTCTAATTGGTCACACAAATCACCTTCACTGATGGAGTGGATGTAGGAGATCACGGTCAGCGCTGCCTCATCTTGTGTGTGATTGGTAAAATTTTAAGCAGGAGCAAATGCAAATCCCCAACCAGCTGGGGTTATATGTGGCTCGTACACCACGTGAACTGTCCTTCGAGCTAAAATTAATCTCTCAATTGGCTACATTTTTTTGTTTTTTAATGTAGACACATCAAATAGAATACCGGAGATACAGGTAAATTTCTACGTGTCAATTATCGATTGGACGACACCGTCATAATTGGTTGGCAATAAAGTAAATTTGGTTTTTGCAAAGAGCGCTGATTGGCTTCGAGCTTTTCTATCAATGTTGAGATAATTCAGATCATTTTTAACAGGAATTCCATAAAAACACAAACATTTTTTTTAATAATTTTAATGTGTGCTCTTTTCTCATTGCAAAAAAACTTATTTAAATTTTCTAGCTGAAAAATTAAGTTTATGGTGATAAATGCGCTAAATTTGCCTGATTTGGTTTAAAAAGCTCCATGAAACCAGCAACATGCCTGATGTTTTGTTTTCCGCAAAAATTTGAAATTTTTTCGTGATATCCATCTCAAACACACTCAAATCGTCTCTTTTCAAAACGGATCCTCACTACTGATGAAAAGGGAACGATCAACGTCAAAATCAGTCGAAGTTATCGATTTTCGAACCACGATGAACCACTTCAAGGCTTCTTTCCAGTTAAAAAAACAGCCTTTTTGGATGTTTACTGCCAGGAAATCGAGTTCCAAAAGGACCGTGAAAGATTTCACACGCATCAACGGCAAATCTTGATAAAATGTCTGGGCATCGTTGGGAACTATTGACCCTGTATCCAAATGTGTCGGATTACGCAGATCGCATTCAATTTTAAACCTTGCATCGGAAATCCCACTTGGTTCAGGCGTCTACTGATTCTGACCAAAAGTAGTATGCTCCAGGCTCAAGAAATTTCAAAAGTAGATGGCAAAAAAATTTCCGACAAAATATTTCATGCTCTTTTATGAAACACCTAATGCTTTTCATGAAATGCGAAAAGCTCCCTATTTATGAAAAATCTAGCCAGACATTATTTCAACAAGAGGGGTTGTCAAATTATTGCGCAATTTGCACAATCGTGGGAGCAAATTGAATCAAATTTGAAACCCGATGGATCAGTCGTGGATATAATTTAAAAGTCACGATTATCATCATTACAATAACCAATTGCAGAGCCTTTATAGAACGCCATGCAAGTTCCAGCCAATGAGCGCTGTCCGAATTGGTGCCGCCAAATATGATTTGCAAAAGCGCCCATTGTACTTTCACATTTTATGTTTTAATCGCGTTTAATTTTGATTTTAGGAAATGAAGCTCCAAAGTACAGTGGACCAAGAAAATGCGTTGAATGAAGCCCATGTAACGAATTTACGCGTGTTTTATGCCAAGATTCTCAGGTTTCTGCTCGCACAAACACGCACGCTCACACAAAACGTAGACTTTAAGGACACAGCACTGTTAAACTGGCACCTTGACCTCTAAATTGGCACTTGGTATCGATGTACTGGAGGTGGTGGACTCAAAATTTGCCTACTACTCACAAATTCTAACCCCCTTATGTCTAAGTATGATCGATCAGACGATTTGCTCCGGCACCTCGGAAAATCACAGGGATGGCTTTGAAATCCACCCGTAGGCAAAGCGTCCAGGTAGATGAGGTGTAAGAATTCTCGCAGGCCTGGTGCTAAAGAATTGTCGACGGTGTTCACGAACTTTGGTACATTCGAGTGGTAGTCGCCGTCTACAACACCAAGGGCAGAATGGCTATGAAACGACCAAGGCTTCAGAAGACGTGTCGTAATCCGTCAGCACGCTAGTTCACCTTCACCGCGGACAATCTTGTTATAGACTACTGAAATACAACCGAAGGCGCTGAACAAAAATCCATGCAGACCCTACAGAATGCCAGCTGTCTGTTTTGTGGAAAAAAATTAAATTTTAATTAACTAAAATCTTGACATTTTTAAATCGAGCACTCCTAATCCACCAACCGATTCAGTGTAAGCAGGTACTGCTCACCCAATAATGCGATAATTGCCCATGTTATGAGCTGTCATTAATTGAAAATACAAAACAAGCAGAGAATTTTTACCGTTTCCCTTTCAACTTTTGCAGCTTCGAATTACAAACAACATTGAAACTCTCGACTACCTTCGTGGGATTAGCTGTCTGGAGAGAGACTTTGTCGTAAGTCAAACCCATCTCCCATTATTTAGTCACACTCGAATTCGTTTAAAATCGACATACTACTTAATAGGCCTTCTCGAATTGAGTAGTCAGAGTTTTCTGAGTTGCAGCCTGATTCCCGCACTAGCGAATCTTTATCGATTTGTAGCACCTGGCCGACAAAGTCGTTAAGACGTCACTCCAGCTCTCCCATGAGTGCAATGACATCAACAGGGAATCACTAAATCCCACGGTAAGTCATCGCGTGCGCATAAATTGTTTGTGCTTTGGTTAAGGAGATGACGGAGGAGGTGGAGAGCTCGTGGAAGCACATATCGCAACTAGGCAACATTGTGCAAACACACGTGAAACACGCCAGGCGCTACCACTTGGTGAGGGTGCAATTTTACCTGGTAAATAGCCTCTATAGCGATCTGAAACACTGAACAAACACCCCATTGATTATTGCAGTTCTTCCTGGCAATAGACAACCTCCATCATCAGTTAAGCGATTTAAATGCGCACATCGAGGACTTGCCGACGTGCCAGCGTCCTCAAGAGAAGCACATCCTTGACCTCTCCGCAGATATCCACCAAACCTTGGTAAGAGCAGCCTTTTCTTACCAGTTGGCGATATGCCGGCGGATGCTGCAGCGGAACATCCAATCAGCTGATGCAGCTGCACTCAAACATGTCCAAAATCCAGAAAATGGAATTTACATATTTCGCTTTGGTCATACACCATTAATATATCAAGAGGCAAACTACTATTTCAAAGATTGCGCAGATAATTGCGTTTCTGTTCAGTATATCATCGACACGGACTACTTAAATGAGATGTTCGCAGACCCACTTGAGTGGCTAATTAAGTCAAAAGCTGGTACCAAAAATGCAAATTAATTTTTCCGTTTATGTACGCTAATGACATATCTGATTGCAGGTTGTCAATCATCCAATATGTAAGGACCGCAGCAATTCATTGCAAGCGAATTAAATTGATTGAAAAAATAGTTTTTTAACATTATTAACAGAAATTGCTTAATTTTGGTTAGCCGTGTTGTGTCCGACTTGTCAAATCGAAACGAGGGGTTGTCACGATGATTAGAAAAATGTTTTCTTTTTGTAAAGGAGTCACTAGTGCAGGCCTACGTGAACTGGCAGAAGCTCAAATTGAAGCTTCCAATGGTGGCTCCACTCCACCGTCGTATGCCCCTCCCAGCAGGTCGACACTCTGGCACACTGATGGCTCCGATCAGCCTTCCAGCGTCGCCACAATCAGGGAAGATGCGGCGTCTGGAAGCCGGTACCCGCGTCCACGTGAGGGCCAATCGACCCGCCGACCTGCTTCACCGTGAATGGTTCCTGGAAGAGGAGGGTGACGGCGGACGCCTTGTGGCATCCGTGCCTGCTGCCTTCGTGTGGCTCAACACCCCCGAATCCTCACCTGATCGAGCCAATGAGAAGGCTCACAGGAGTCGCTCGCTGTGTTTACCCAGGTCGCGAATAAACAACAATCAGGCAGTCGAAGAGTGAGTCAAGCAGCGTAATGTGGTTTTCAAATTGCTCAGATAAGCAATTTAATAGGCTATTTTATTGTGCTGGGAGATTTCATGATTAGGTGACACTTCTACTTATCACTTATAAGTAGGTTGTAACTTATAAAATATTTCAGTTTGCTCTTTCTAGATTGCAAGGACATCTTTTCGGAGTCTGGGAAAAGGCGTGCTCAAAGTATGACCAAATTCTGCGGGAAACAGGAATCGCCTTTCTTAGTAGCACCCTAACTGACAAAGAGGTAATCTGCCATGCTGAAATCCTTAATGTTGGAGCCCTCATTTTTATATATGTCTGATCTAGTGTGTAGTTATATTTCTTAAACATTTCAGAGAGCATCAAGCGAAGAAGAAGTGGAACGATTCAGAGAAGCCCTTCAGAAGATGTCCGAATTGGTGGGCATCGTAAAGTACCAACAAGAAGACGGAACAGAGAACCTAATCGACTTGATAGACACCGCGAAAAGCCGTTTGACTAAACAGGGTAATTAAAATCATTTAAATTATCGATTATTTCGCCTCGCACTAACTGCATTCTTTTGTGCTAGGCCACAGTGGAAAATTAGCCATCGATCCACTGGCTGCCGACGCGATGGTTCAGGCAATCGATATTTTCGAGGTAATATTGATTTTCCACAACTCAGTTATTGACATTTAAAATAATCGATGACAATTTGGAATTCGGTAACGTTAAAGAAATAATTGCGGTGGATTGCTGCGGAAAAATTTGGGTTCACAAACCATTCGAGGTTTGACATAAAAACCATATTTTGTCTTTTGAAAAATGATTGGCTATTTAAATTTGTTTAAACTATTCGGAATTTCAGGGCGCCAAAAGCAGCTAAAGGATTACCATTCAAAGAGTTTTGCAAGATCTCAATGGTGCACTTAAACTCCAGTCATTTTGCGCCATGTGCCAAAGACGTCTGACACCTGGCAAATTCTGGCGGAGTATGAAATCTTTGCGATTTCGGCATCCTTTTCTAGTGTTGCTTCCTCAGTTACTGATTGTGTGGTTTCATGAAAACAGCTTAAAACGCAATTTAAATCAGACATCGCATGTCTTCAATAACTTTTTAAACCGAAAAAAGATGGCTAAGAGCCACTGCAGGCTGATCTTTTGTGGAAGCTGAAGTTACTTTCTTATCAACCAATCAAATGAAAGGAGATTAATTGTCGCGGCGAAATTCAGCCAATTAGAAGTTTGCATGGCTCACAAGATTGTCGCTAGGCTATTGGCGGATCATGAGCACCTTGTAGGAAGATGAATTTTGATGTTTTCTTACAGGAAATTTGTGTGTGTTTGTGTAACCATGCTCTTCTTCACCTGCTTTACCAAAACTGCAGCAAAATGACAGACATGTGTGCACTTATTTTGAAGATTACTATTTCTTGAAGCATCATAGATTTTTTCTTAAAATTTAACTGTGATAAATTTAAATTTCAGGAGATGGTTGGATGTTTTCAGCGCTACAGTGCATGTAGGAGCCCTGATGTGAATTTGCCTCGTGCACAGTTAAGCAAAGGGTGAGTACTGAATTCTACGTGCTAATGCTTTTAAGTAGTATGCCATGTATATAAATGGTGGGTGGCTATAGTAGGTTCCTTTGTTTAAATTTACGCATTAAAAAGCACAAAAAGTTAGAGTGGCCTTGATGTGCCTTCAGATGGAGGAATGGAACGTCAAATAAACTGCCCAACGCCAGAAAGACCCAAGTGGTCACACCTCAGACCATCATTGCACCAACTGAAAGCCATCCAGTTGCAAGCGCAGCTCCAACAGAACTCTCAGAGGCACCGAAGGAACCAGAAGTCACCAGCCCTAAGAAGGAGAAGCGATCCACTTCACGTCGACGCTGTCATCGTCGAAGCCGTTCTGCCTCGCTGCCCTTCGACGACGACTCGCGTGCCCCTACCTCCCAGGCGGAGTCCGAGGCGAATTGTCCCTACTCATCGCCGTCATCGTCGTCGTCGTTGAACAACCGAGCCCAACACAGCGTCTCGCTTCTCAAACGAAGCAAGAAGGCAGATCATGCTACCGGGGCGGCTGAGAAGCCGCGAGGTCGTAAACGCGACCGCGTCTACCGCCTCTTCCCGAGTCTGCTGCTGCGACGTCACTCCCGCAAGGGTGAGAAGCGAGGCACGTCAGAGGAGTCGGGAAACAGGCGGTCGACGAGCAGCGTGGAGGGGCGTCAAGACACACCATCGCTTCAGCAGAAGCCTGGAGAAACCCTGACTCTCGGACGAGTCAACTACACCAGGAAGTCGGATATCGCGAGGTTGCGTCGACCACCGCTCGTCTTCTCCACGCCCTCCACGCTTGACTCGGGCAACGTGGCGGACGGCGATTCGAGTGAAATGATATTCCCTGGGTTTGAAGAGAAAGCCTACACCCAACCTGACGTCTCGTCCATCTGCATTGGAGTTGCCCAACGAGAAAAACCGCGCACAACGACTGGACGAGCCTCGAGGCTCTACTCCGTGGCTTGTCAGAGCGGCGTTTGTGCTGACTCCAGCATGACAGAAGTTGACAGCGCAATCGGAGACGATAAGGCGTTCATGCCGGTGGAAAGCTTCAGCAAAAAACTGCAAGTTGGCAGATCCTTCACAGCCGTGAAGATGGACGCCGAACGAGGTCAGGCGTCGCACGTCTACGCCAACATCGATCCCCAGATGTTTTGCCAAATTGAAAAAGCCACACCAATTGAATTTAGCAGTGATGTACCAAGGGAGGAGTGTCCACACGTGGTGCTCTACGACATCGGGGTTCAGGTCGACCTTCCAAACCGCCTGAAGGCCCTGCGCTGTCGTCTGGAATTCGAGCAGCCGGGCGTCGAAATCGGCGACAAGGGTGGACTCACCTGTCAGACGTTCGACGAAGCTCCGCCCAATGTCGACCCAGACGCCGAAAAGGACTACAGGACGCTCAGTTTCCGAGTCGCCTTCAATAACAAACCCCCTCGTTGCGCTAGCACCCTCTAAGCAGATTATCGTGATTTTGTTGTATCGTTAGAAACATTCTGGATTTTCTTGTCACTTTGCCTAAATTTCTTCGTCTCGGTGAAATATATACAAATGCCTAGGCATCAGACTCCCGGGAACCACATCAATTACCCCTTTTAAAATCTCTGGAAATTTCCTGGAAGTAGGCCATCCCACGGCTAGGCAAGCGATGCTTATACGCTTACCTAGGCTAACTTAGTAGTTTGCGATTTCAACCAATGGTAACGTGGTAGCGTTACCAGCACTTCGATAATGCAAGATACTGGACAAAGCGGTTGTGTGGGTCGTGTGCGTGGGTCTGGTTATTAGGACGTTTCATCAACTAGACTGGAACATCGGAAATCGTTAGAATCGAGTAAGGGTTCTTAGTTAATTTCACACAATCCCTTGTTCATAATGCAGACACCGTCTAAGACATCAGTTCTTTGCAACTATGTCAGTAGAATGTCCTGGAATGCTTTATTTTACCAATTTAAAGTATCCGCGAAGGAAGATAAACACGCATCCTAGGTGATGCTATTGGTTATTGGGTGCTTCGTGAGGATATGGTGGCGTATGTGGGATGGCAGGATGGAGGTCAAACGAAGGCCGGATCAGAGAAGAAGGCGACGAAGTCTTCGAAGGTGAGTCCAAGCTCCGGTGGAATGCCGTGGAGTTGCATGAGACTCTCCACGACTGGACGGCTGTTGGCAATGGCACTGAGCATTGCCATCACCTCGTTGACCTCTAGGCGGCCGGAGGAGTCGGTGTCAAACGAGGTGAACACACGCCGCAACTTTTCGATGCTACAATCGACGCAGATGTGCTAATACAACCACTTTTGTTTAAATTACTGAAGGTCGCAAAGTGATTGGTAGTTTGTTATTTAAGCAAACACACGCTGCAACTATTCGATGTTAGAATATAGGCAGATGTGCAAATACAACCTCTGTTGTTTAAATTACTCAAGGTCGTAAAGTGATTGGTAGTTTATTATTTAAGGGCGATGCGTAAAAATGAACTCATTCAGTGCTGCATAACGACGTGAACCTTTGCAATATTCAACGTTTTTCATCTTGGTACAAATTAACCGTCAAAAGCACACAAAAGTGCATGTCTATGTTAAGGCTAAATCGAATGCAATGGAATCGAAGATTAAAAACAAGCATTTGTTTTAAAGCTCAACTGGAAATTCTATAAAAATTTTCAGTGCTCATGAAAAAAAAGTAGTAATGTATTAATGGTGGTAAATTACTAAGTCGAAAATATTTCGAACAATTAAAAAACCATTTTTTTCGCTTAGCTTATCGGATTGCGGCAGGCGAAGTCTCACAGTTGAGAGTAGAATCTTGGCTTCAAATCGAGCACACAACTGGCACGCGTTGACCATACATATATTGCATACTACTGACAACAAATTCTAGTAGGTATTAATTTCAGAAAGAAATGCCAGAAAGTCGCTTAATTTCAGTATTCACGTAAGTCAGTGCGTCGAATCTGCGTCCACTAATAAGACACAACACATGAGATATTGGGTCAAGAATGTCACGTGACCTCGTGAGTTGAACGAAAGAGGTGTCTACTGTGTTGATATAAGTAGTAGTGATGCAAGCAAACTAGCTCCTCTTACTCAACGCTGTCGTCAGGCAACCTGGCAAGGACCATGTTGAATTCCTCTGCGGTTATCTGTCCATCTTGGTTCAAGTCGAAGGTTCTCCAGAACTCCTAGGAAGAAAAACGCATGCTTCATTTTGCAGACAGAAATTTGAGATAGCTCAATTGATCCGGCCATAAAGTACCGATTGGTGGGCATTAGAATTTTGAAATGCCTCCCAGAACGTACGCCAGATCAGTAAAACAAAAACGGGGCACATTGGCGTTGGTTTAATTTACAATCTCATTGGTTCAAATGGCCTTAGGTAAATCAAATGCTGATTGGTAGTTTGAAGGTAAAACTGTAAGTGAAACTGTTCAAATCAGATTCCTACGAAATGCCAATTTGGTGAGGACTTTTAAACGTCTCTAGTGACGCGATTTCCATGTTGGTAGCATAATTTATACGCGAAATTTTCTGTCCAATCTGCAGGTTCCAACAACCAATAACGTATGTTGCAGATCATTTGTCGCTACAGCGGAATGTCGGTGTCTTTTTCTCTAAAATCTTACAGAATTTGCATTTAAGAAATGCAGCAAAAACAAATGTTCAAGCAACTACTTGAAAATCAATTCTGACAAAGCGCCAGATCGATTCGTGTGCAATTAGTAAACCACATCGATTTTGTTTAAATTGACTGCAAAAATTTGCGGGAAATTTGATAGCGCTTGCCATAAATGGGATAAGTTGTTAGCGAGTTTGAGAACCTATGGTCGGTGAGACTGCTTTTCGATGCACTTGTCTATCACTGCGTGGGAAGGCTCAGTCTATCCTAATAACGCTACTCACAAGTGATGTAAGAAAGCTGCTGTATTTGACTCGCATTCTACTTACAAACCACACAGTTTTAGTTTCATTGTAAAAAAGCTTCCTACTCTGATGGCCGATGGATCGTAGCGATGGCGTTGGAGGTATTCGTTGACTTCGCCGACGTGGAGGATCCGGTCCCCGTTGCAGTCCATGCGGTTGAATAGCTCCACCAAGCGCTCCCTACGTCCGATGTCGTTTCTTCGACGCAAGCGAGAGTACATCCTGATTGGCTATTCCAAAATCCAACGAAAAAAGCAAGATTAGACACTCTACATGGCGAAGGAACAGCTGGTTCATCGCACAACTGCCTCGCGGACGTCCTAGCTTTTTACACAAGCTACCGAAATACCATTAGAGATGAAACAGGGATAGCAAAGAGAAAAGGGGTTCCCTCGTGTCGCGAAAAACATACGAGGGAGCACGAGGAAGTGGCATTACCTCTCTCTCTCTCTCTCAGGTGACGGCAGAGAAAAATGGCGTGACTTGAGTGGAAGCATTCGCTTTTACGACGCAGAAAGAGGACGGCGGTGTAGGTGCGCAGTGCCACTCGACTGGATAATTGCGCACACACCACGCAAAAGTGCTCACCTCGAGGCCGCGCCTTGTGCGCGTGGACTTCCACGTTGTCCTCCTGGATGACCTGACGGCGGCGCGATATCTGCAAGTGGTTTTAACCACTTGTTTAAGCGTAGAAGCGATTTAGCTGGCCTGGAAATCTTCCATAGGTTGAAAATACTTTAACTTGATTGGTAATACGGCACTTTCCACATGCTGCTCATGCCCGCGGGCAAACGAACGATGACGACTATCGTCTTCCGACCTCCCTTGATGCTATTCTGCCGAAGCAGAAGTCCTAACGCATTTACGTTGATTCTGTTTTAACTAAAGTGGATTCCTCACCACATGTGCATTTACAGCTACTAAATTAAGTAGCCGCAACTTTCGTAAGGCCTAAGGTGAACCGAGGTGACTTCTTGCAAGCAGAGGATGGAAGAAAGAATTGGGGTTTACCTGAAAATGCATTTTTTTTAGCAAAATATCTTTTGGCACAACTCCTCAAGACTGAATTCAGTCGCCACGAGAATAAAGAGTGTGGCGTCATCATAAATTTGATTGGTTGAGTTTGTGAAAATTGATTCCGAGACTTTTTTCTTTGCGTTACTCATGCCAACGGGCGAAAAAACGATGGTGGCTGTCAGTTCCTAAATATCAAATTCGGAACGTGCTACTTGCCGCGTCTTTGGAATGCGTGAATCGCATATCTTGCATTTCGTATTAATTTTTAGCATCTGCTTAGCGTTATTTCAATGGCAAAAACACAGTTATGAATTAAATAAACCGAGTTGATTCCATTATTTAGCACAATTTTGACTACGTCCTGTAACAGGTAATGTATCGTCGGCTGCTGTTTCTGTTCAGATAGTTAAATATTGGCTACTTAATTAATATCAGTAGTTATTTGGGAAACACACAGGCTTCTCATGTGGTACGAAGTAGCGTCGTCTAGCTCCTACATACTGCCAGGCCTTGCTCTATAACAATTTAATCCATCAAGCGCCACATCCCGTTGTTCGTGGACAGTGGTAGATGTCAATCTTGTTACAGACGTTCGTGCTGGAAGTTATGCCCACTGAAATATTCAACATATCAGCAAGTGGTTCCATCCCATGCTCAAGCAAATTTCTCACCGCCTGATTGAAGAACTTTTACTGTGAAACATCGACAAGCATCGTCGTGACTGTGCGTCATTATGAGTTATTATAATTGTGTCGAAATTATGTGTTGGCTTAAACACGCTTCTTGACTGGTTGTCTTGATGTTGCACTGTTAAATGGAAGCTGTAATTTATCTGCTATCATTTTTTACGTGTAAATCATTTGCATGCGTTTAACTTGCTTCTGTAAATTGGTTTTAGCATTTAAAGCGCCCTGCGTTAATCTTCCCAACTAGAGATGTCCTTGTGGGGATGATACGTAGACGAAGCCCACTGTAGAGAGTTCAAACGTGCATTTTTTCGCCAGTAATTTATGCTACATTTGTCCTACACATGACCCGCCGTGAATTCCAGCCACACAGTCAACTGCTTTGGGGTTTTAATAGACGAATTCCTGGCTAAGCTGCATCCCGTACTGTTTCCCCACCCGCCCCCCAACTGAGCGAGTGAGGTGGCTCTCCTCACCACAAGCGACACTTCGGTCAGATGTCGGTGGTGTGAACATCTGGCCAGCGTTTTGTGTTACGAGTGATGACTCATTCCTGCGCTGATCTACTGTCAGCCCCACAAATTCGTGTCTAAATGATGCATTTTCGTAATGCAAATGGCCGTTTAATGTGGACCTGTTTTTGATTCTAGATGAGTTTGTTGTTGAACCACAACCTGTCGTACTTCTCAGATTGCACATTATCGATTTGTTTTGGTGTCATGTCGTACTTCTACATGGTTCTTCCGACTCAAACTCCCACGGAATATCAAGGTCATGGGGTACTTGCATCGTTGAAGCAACCAAACAAAACATTTGCGCAAAAGAGTGGGCTGGTTGCAACACTTGCCATGTTATTTCCGGATAAAAAACAACACCAGGTTAGGTTGGAACACTGCTGCAACTGGATGGGTGGTGCTCGTGATAAGCGAAAAGTGGATTGGCCTGCAGGGGACGACTTGTCAACACCAACGTCCACAACAAACTCGACGCCCAAGCACGTTCTGACACGCCAAACCCGCATGAGAGCAGAAACCGAATCGGCGCGTTGAACAGCATTTTATGCGAGGCAGTAAAACAATACAATTGTAAACAGCGTGGACAATAAATGTCAAAATGTTTACGTACATACAAAAACATTTGTACCGCTGCAGGCGAATTCAACTAACACTGCTCATTCATTGGACAAATTGTCAACGAGGCTTAGTAGGAATCGTAATTTAAACCACGGATGAATCAAGCATCACGCGGTAAATGCTGCCCGCAGAATGTTGCTGTGGGTTGAGTCGGTTTGTCATTTCCCAACCCACCGACTGACCTCAGCGCTTAGTGTCCTCGTCGACGGTGTCAGGCGTTTGAACGATGCGCCACGTAACGCGGTGCATGGAGTTCTTTTGACAAACCGGCCAAGTGTCACGTGGAAAGTGTGTTTGGAGGGTGTGGCGGCGGAGGTGGGTCGCCCAAGTAGACGTATCCGGGGCGGGTGTGGTTTGCGTTGCGCTCTGGCACTTCCGAAGAGGTTGCCGAAGCCGGCTGTGGGGGTTTCCTGGGATTGGACCGGAACTCCTGCCTGCTTCCACGGCCGACTGCCACACCCTCCGTCCAGTTGCGCGGCTGTCTGAATGGTCCAAGTTCGCAAGCAGTCACAGAATAGCCCTAATCTGAAGGCAGCAGCTAGCGTACTTCGCTAATGCAGTATCGGAGTTTGCCACAGCGAACTGTCTGCACTCATCGATTCATGACATTCCCTTCAACCTCTGTTCACGGACGAGGAGATGTCAAATCGCCACTATTTTTTCTTACCTTTTCGCACTGATTTGGTCTTGCCAAGCCTGGGCAGTGCTCAGACTATGTTAATCAAGCATTCCAGCTTCATTTTGGCATGTTTTGGAACACTGTTGAACGTAAAGACTCGTCAACTAGCCTCTGCATTTCCTCCCCCCAAACCCCTTTCTAACACTGTCGAAATTCTTGATCGAAGTTTCACATCTGCACGTGTTTCTTCCTCAAACATTGATTCCAGGTCTCGTCTCCCAGGGCTACCAATGCGACGTTTGTGGAAGCGTCTTTCATCGCGTCTGCCGTGTCCTCACCGAAGAGCACCCGCCGTGTCCTGGACGGCAAATCGTCGACGCCTCGCCTCAACCCCCCACCCACCCGGACTCGGACGTGCATCAGGGGGACTACAAGCTCCCCACAGCGGTGCCCGTCATCAAACACACCTACTTCACTGTGCCCCTGGACAAACAGGTATTCGGCTAGCAACACACGCCTACGCACACGCACCCCTTGCAATGGTTGTGGCCGGCTGGCCGCTTCGATGGTGATCTCCGTGATCTTTGTTTTGATTCGCTTTGTAAATGAAGGTGTTAATGACACCAGCTTAAGCACCAACAGATGTACTCGCAGGAGTCGAAGAATAACATCAGCAACAGTCCGTAACAATAGATACTACTTGCGACAATAAATAAAGTAAGCAGTAAATGTTAAGGCACAAATGCATACAACAAATACGAACGCTCACTGCTCATCGAGCTTTGAATA